CATTGTGTGTCACGCTGCATTTCGCTTCAGTGTACAGTAACTTTATAATGGAAATTATTTTATGCGGGATGTTTCTTAGCTCTAAAATTTTCCAAATCGCATCATGAGATAAGCTGTCAAAGCACCTGAAATAAAAAAAAAACTGTATAGGGGTGTGTTCCGTTCAACCGATTGTTACATTATTAGCCTCACAGTATTAATGTGGTCTATGCAGGAGTGATTCTGGTCTAAAGCCTACTTGATTAGCTCGAAAATTCAAACACTTGTTTGTTAATCTTTTAAGTATGATGGTCGTGAAGATTTTATTTATGGCGGTAAGCAAGGTTATTTCTCTCCAATTTTTGCATAGTGTGAGGTTGCCCTTTTTTGGAAGCTTAATAATGTATGCCTTTTTTCCAGCCCGCGGGAATGCGGTTTGTTTCCCACACCCCCTCGGATTATGGGGAGCAAAAGTTCAGCAGTTAGATGCGGATCAGTTTTAAGTATGTCGGCAGCAATGTTATCGATTCCCGGAGACTTGTTATTTAGGAAATAGATCTATCAGAAATGAAAATGATTTGCCCTAACAAAAAGGTAATTTTCGTTGCAATTTGAAAGTTTATTATTCTCTATAACTAGAGATCTTTGCGTAAGTATTTCATAGAAATCTCATACTTAACACGTGCCAATACAACTGACTGAGGAAATTTTCGATCCGAACTGTGATCCGACTTCCAACTTCACCATTCACGCTCCGACTTCTTCGCTAATCGGTAGTGGGCGGATCTTCAATGCGTCCCACTAGAACAACTAGATGTGTTCTGACTCGTACAACTAGTTGTCCAACTAGCCCACTCACGGTCCGATTTAAGATCCAACTGCAGAAGTTGGACCACTAGTCGGACTAAAAGTCGGAACGTGAATGGCCTGTTTTAAGGACATACAAAAAACTGATAAGAATATATCTGAGAATTTCTAGTCACTGAAATTCGAACGAGTTCGTAATTCAGTCTTATTATGTTTGAAAAGTCTTAACAAGAAAGATAGTACCACATTCTTAAAAAGGCACGTTTTGTTTTTTCGGCAATGCCGATCCCAACTTTACGATTTACTTGTAAAATCAACAGGAATATTTCAGTTGTTTAGCAACCAAATATACATTTCTTTCCATATGAACTTAATTTACCCAAGTACGGCAAATTTAAATTTGCGATGTTTCATTTGGATTGGTGATTGGTCGCGAACTGTACATTGCAAGCGCGGGATGAATGTTATTCATATAAAACGTAAGTAGTAAAGTGAATTAATTTAAGTAACGTAAGTGTAAAGTGAATTAATTTCAGTGCAACGTAACTAGCCTTTCTTTTTGTGATTTATTTTTATTTTCTAAAGTAATACTGTGATACGTTACATCTGCCGGAAATAGTTAAAGGTTAAAGGGTTTTTTGACATATTAGAAAATTTTTTTTAAATTAAAGTGTAAACAAATTCAGGTAAATTAACCTAAAAAATGCAAGCCATGGGAGAAACTGTAAGTATTGATAAGTCTGATATTGTAAATTATATTTTGAATAATGGGTTTTCATCTATTCCATACGAAGAACAAATTGTTATTAAAAATAAGGGGCGTATTTTGCCTAAAATGTCCCGGCTTATAAATATTAGTGCGGGTAAGGGAAGTAATAGATCATTTTCAGAAAATTGGTACAGCAAGTACTCATGGCTTACCGGGAGTGAAATAAAAAACTAACTTTTCCGTTAGCCTTGCATTTTATTTTCGACAAATAGGGGCAAACATCAAATTCCGTGGTGTGAATCTGGATACGATAATTTAAAGGAATGATCCAGATCCAGAATGAAAGGAACAATCCAGAATTAATTAATAAAATCAATTAGTTACATTTTGAGTAACGTTATTAAATCTGAGATTCAGGAAACCATTTGCTTTTCACTAGAAGTAGATGAACCTACCGACATTATCATGTCATTCACAATTATCAATTGTTGTTTGATACGCGTTACGTGGTAATATCTATGAGAGGTTTTTAGGTTTTACAGACGTGGGTAAAAGAAAACTTATGACGGCGCTGCCGTGATGTCTGGTGAATTAAATGGTCTCCAGGGAAAAGTTAAAACTATTGCACCGCAAGCTTTATTTACTCACTGTCATGCGCATAGAATGAGTTTAGTTTTGCAGGATACATGTAAAAACATTAAAGAATGTCGTCTTTTTTGCCAGTTTAAGCATCTTTGCTTCATTTTTCTCAAGCTTGCCTAAACAGACTAATGTTTTAGAACGGCTTTCCATAACTTGTCTGATTGATCAGGTTTTGTATTATCTGCACAATATAAATATTTTATTATTTGTCGAAATATATCCCTTCGCATAGCGTGACATACCATTTAATTTCTCATATCATCGTTGGAATCCCAATAAAAAGCTCTACTGGGTAATTCAGCATAGCCGGATAAAATAAGAATAGCTAGGCAACATTTCATTTGATCGCATGTTATGTTTTAATTTGTTTCATTTAAAAATAATGCATATCTATTAGATTGGTCAACAAGAAACTGTACAATTTGGTCATCTACATATTTTTCAAACATTTCAGCAGGAGACAAGTACACATTTGAGAATCGATTTGATAGTTTAGGAAATTCTCTTAGAGATGGAATAAGGTCTCCGTCAATCCAACTTATTTGGGTTTTTCCTGGTCGTTCTGATAACTTTTGTGTTACACTACTAGCAACAGCTTCGACCTGATAATTATCCTCTTCGTTGTGAATTCTAACTTCAACATGAGCAGAAAGTTGTTGTCTGTTGAGATTATCAGTCATTTCGCCATCATCCTCTTCACCAAAGTCTTCATTCGTGAGAACATTTGAGTCTGGAGGTTCTATAAAAATCTCTAACGTCGATATCATCATCATAAACCATATTTAGTGCCTCTTCAAGAGTGAAGCCGCGCCTAGAATCAAAATAATTATTCTTATAATTTTGCTCGCGCAATCGGCTAGGGTTACGATAACGTAACGGTAAAAAAGTCTACAAAACGACAAAACCGTGCCAGCTAACTACATGTTTGCTATTCAGTTATAAAGTTTAAACATTTGTTTAGTATTATTGGCTTCAAGAATGACATCTACCACAAAAATATAAATCTATCAGTACTTACTCTAAATGAAAGTCCATTTTCTGATCACTCATAACACAAACTCAAATTTAACACTTACTAACAAATAAATTAAAAGCAACGCCATGTCACGCCACAGATTGTTTGACCATCTGACAGTTGTCTAACATAACCTACAAATGGAATTCAGGCTACAGTTGAAACAGAGCCATATAAATAAAGTTGGGTACGGCCGTTACATAAACGTAACGCTAGCCGTTGATGGGTTAAATGATCATAAATGAAATTTCTTTAATAAACAAAAAATATAACCGCTGAATGATCTCTATTTTTATAATCAGCAACAATCTGCTCTATCAAATTTTCAAACAGCTGTTGAAAAAACTAAATGTTTCAAATAATCTGGTTCTATCTAACTAAAACAATAATAACTGACTTACTGTCTAGATGTTATTAGCTTATTATATATAGAACTTTAAAAATCTATTATCATATTTGTTTGTAAATAAAGAAATATCTGATGTATAGGATTAAAATTGCTGGTTTATAATTAGTTAATTATATGGTCGAATTCACGAATTAGTTTCCGTTTGAATTAACATTGTTATTCAACGCAGTGGAAACTTAGAATACATGCAAATTAACAATTTCATTTTAATTTTAATCCTCACTAAGTAAATTCTATAATTGCTTCATTTAATGTTTCTCAACTTTTATTTATAAACTTCCGCTACAGACTTACATATATTCAGTTTTAATTTAAAACCCGTCTGATGGAAAAATATACACATAATGCTTGGTTTTGATTAAAGATTAGCTATTTGTTAGATAATTTTACCTAAAAAAGTATAACAATATAATCTTTACAGGTAAAATTCTCAGTAGTTGTTTGTTTTCCGTAGTTCAAGAAAACTTAGCGAAAGTGTTGATAAACATAAGTTGCTTGTACTGGACATCGAAATAAAAAGCGAAACCAAACCAAAATATCGAGAGAATCACAAAAAATCAAGTGGTGGATGTTAAAAGATAGAAAAGAAGTTCTATTCAGGGTAAAAATAGTAAAAAAAATGTGTTGGAACCTAAAAGAAAGACCTAATACAATTTAAAGAAAGATGACCAGTATCATTGGAGATACTGCTATTGAAATATTTGGAAAAACGTCAGAAAACAGGAAAGAAGTTTGAGAATAAGGAGACCTTGTAGTGGTCTAACGAAGTTTAAGAAAAAATAAGAAAAAAGAGAAGGTTATATAAACAGTGGCAAGAAAATAGGTCAAACACAGATCTTCAAAACTATTGGGTCGCAAGAAAGGAAACAAAAGCGGTAGTAGCAAAAGCTAAAGCAGAAGCATATAATTTGATCAACTTGATAACAGGGAATGAAAGCCAAGACTTATAAAATAGCCAAACATAGAGCAAAGAAAATAAAAGATTTAAACTAGATTAGATGTATCCAAGATAAAAATAGTAATATATGAATAGAGTGTCAAAAAGAGATGGAAAAAGTACTTTGACAGATTATTAAATGACGAATTTAACAGAACCAATTGAGTTAACGAAGACAGTAACAGCAATGGTGACCTAAATAACAAACGAAGAAGTGGCTCAATAAATTCAAATAATTAAAAAAGGAAAAGCAGTGGAAACAGATGATATTTCTGGGAAAGTGTGTAAAGCATTAAAAAAGACAAGAACAAATTGTTTAACAGGTCTATTTAATAGAATTATGTAAGTTAGACCAATACCAGAAGAATGAAGATACATGTAGAAACCAAAATATCTGATAATCGGTTTGGCTTCATGCAGATTAAAAACAGACGTAATTTTTGTTATACAGCAGTTAATGGAACAATACAGACATAAAGAAACATCGATCTTGAGAAAGAATATGATAGCGGTCCTCGGAAGATTCTGTGGTGGGTACTCAATAAGAAAGGAGAAAGGAGAAAGGAGAAAGGAGAAAGGAGAAAGGAGAAAGGAGAAAGGAGAAAGGAGAAAGGAGAAAGGAGAAAGGAGAAAGGAGAAAGGAGAAAGGAGAAAGGAGAAAGGAGAAAGGAGAAAGGTGAATAGTATGTAAAGATTGTGAGAGACATGTATGAGGGAATAACAACTAGTGTTGGGACAGATGTGGGAGAGACTGCGAAACTACAGGGTAATATTCCGTCGTGCTTAATGTATGCTAATGATGTAGTGCTAGCAGGAAATAGTGAAAGCGACTTGAAACAGCGACTGGAACAGTGGAAACAAGCTCTTGAGAAAAATGCAACTTTTTTTCATTATTATTAGAACAATAACAAAATCTTGTATACTAAAACGCTAAGCCCTTTTCTTGTCCATCACTTTACTCAAAAAACCATATTAGATAATTAAAATGTTTTTTTCGGAATATTATTAGTATTACGTATGAGATTGTCAAGATATACTTTTGGTACAAAAAATTCACTTCCGAATTTGAGATGACCGGAAGTTAAAACGTACTTTAAGTTTTAGACCCCACAATGTATATATGGATCCAAAGGTCTCGTCGAGATAAATCTAAATATGTACTTCCGGTTGCGATCCGACACCGGAACTGACCCGAAACGCGCATAAAACGTCAAGATAGAGCAAATCTGACACCGGATTCGTGATCAGCATGCAAAATTAACTGCTAAATGATATCCATGTCGACATTTGAAGAATTATAAATTATAAAAGTTTACATAACTCCCGATGCCAAGCAAAAGTTTTCAGAAAATGGAGACATTGTAACAAAAAACATTGTTTTCGACGAAATATTTCGTGATATTTAATACACTTTTTACTTGCATTACTATTGATGAATGTTATGTAGATTCTTGCTTATATTGTTTGTATTGATCTCTTAGTTTTTCTCGCAAAATAAAAATTTCATTTAAAAAACTCGATGTCGAGTTGGTCCGCTAGTATAGATATAATCTAAATTTTGGTGGAAGTTCTTCCACCATTTTCAAATCATTCATGCAACTGAAAATTTGGTGTCTCTGTATCTGTTAAAATACATAATATTTATAATAGTTAATAAACATTATATTCGACAGATGTTTAAAAAAACGGTAAAGTTATTTATTTATTTAATAATATACGGAAAGAAAACCAAATGGGGGCTTATAAGTCACGGTAATCACACATTTGATAACTCAATATAATAGAAACAGACAACTGATCTGATACGGCCAAGTATTATTGGAATCTAATAAAATAGCAACTCTGAGATAAAAACAGACTAAAAGTATCAAGGGAAAAAAGAAAAACTCTTTGAAATAGGTGTATACCCAAAGTAAATACCTTTATAAAACTATAATACTCTCCAAAATTAACGCACCGCCTAAAATAGACCGTGATTTTAAAATATATAGGTAAAATATATTTCTTCTGAACTCTTAATTGAATTTTCATGATTTATTTTTTACATTGTAGGTATATTTCTAAGTAATAAAATTTTAACATGATAACCTATATATTAAAAAGTAATAAAAACTACTATGTAAAAACATTGCATAAATTTTATATTATAGTTTCGGTAACGTATGATCATATTTCAAAACAAAACTATATATTCTAGTGAATTATATGCTTACTTGAAATATTTTTATATTTTATGTAAGCATTAATAATGTAACAAAAATATATCAAACCCTTTTATATCTTTAAATTTGATTCTGAGCCAATATATGAACACACTTCACCAGCTTGCCAAAATTGCGCGAAGGTCAACATTTTACAGTTTTCTTAAAAACTAATTTATAATAGAAATAAAAACTTAATTTAAAGTAATTACTATTAAAATTAGAATAAGCCACAATTAAAGGTTAAATACGTTTTTTGACGTTTCAATTTCCATTTCGGAAATCGTTCTCCAAATACAAACATTCGTAAATTAAACAAATTTTGTTTTTTTGTTACTAAGTGAAAAATTCTTTTAACAATTTAATTTTATCTGACTCATTTATATTGACAATTTAGACATAATTATACATTTTAAAGTAAACCACTTTAATATGATATTGCCAATATTGTTGAGTTGCTCTCAACAATCTCTTTACTTATAAAATAGTTTATTCGATTACGTGAAATCAACTTTAACTTGAGAATATCCGTCAGAAAAAAAATCATAGCATGTAATTTGTCTTTAAAAAGTTAAACACATACCATGATGACAGTAAAATTCTCCTGTTAGTGATTCCATAGTAAATTATGAGGGAAAAACTAGGAAAAAAACCTCATAACACTATCCCGACATGGTAAGTATTTGGTCGTGCATTTAGTTTAGTTTCAATAAACACCAAATTCTGATTTTATATGTTTGTTATTTAAAAAACATATATGATGTATCCTCCATATATTACTGACTTACTAATACTGGTAATTTCTTTTTATTACCTCCCTCTTTCAATATGGGTAACCAGATCCTACAACATTCTGCCGAGGAATTTCGCGACACAATTGGTCTCATTTAGCATAATTAGAGCCGCTTCTTTGATTTTTCTCTTTTTAGCATCCATTTCTTTTAAGACTATATTTGAATCATTTCATTGTAACCCTATGTTCATTATCCAATGCGTGTTTTACATATTTGCGTATCTTATATAGTTTGCCGCATATCTGGAAACCGTTCTTGATAAATTCTAGCTGATAGTAATGAATTTTTTATTGCATTCTCCCAATATCTAGATCATATCTACCATTTCATCAGTAGTAAAATTCATTATTGCTAATTTAAATTGAATTAGTTACTGAATTACTAAATAATAATTTACGGTGTACCCCAATACTAAATTAATAAACAATAATGTCAAACTGTCAGTTTCTGACCAATCAATCATAGCTAACTCACAATAATTATAGGTAAACGTTAAAATATCTACCAAATTTATACTTTGTTGGAAAATAAAAATATCTAGGTATAGGAAAAACTTCATAAAATTTGAAGTACGATATTAGTACTTTTCGATAGTGATATAAAATACAGGGTGTTTTATTTAAAATTACGAAGAAAATAATGTACTTGCATTTCGACTTACACTGTATTTAATTTAACGAATATTATGAAAACGAATATGTTTTATAATTTTTAACAATTATTAAAAAACTATGGTTGCAATAGAATCAATGTTCCGATACTCCTTTTTATTTATACAGGGAGTTGAACTTAATACGATTTTCAGGTAATATTGGTATAGCTTTTTAAATACCTGGTATAACATAATAAAACTTTACATTGTTGTGATGTCGAAGTGAAGCAGATTTCAAATTAAACATAAAATACAAGGTATCGTTTAAGACAACATATGTTTGTACGGTCACCATCTTATGGAACACTCTGTAAGATTGTAACTAATTTATAAAATGTGGAGTTTAAAGCATGCCTACAATTTTTATTAATAACTTTTTTTGTAATTTTTACTACTAACAGATCTACTGAGCTTCCTTTACTAACTAATCAATCACCCTGTATATATATTTATCAAAATATACTAATCCATTTTAATTTATATTTCAGATGACCTTCAGCGATCATTCCAAATAACTACAATCCATCATGATAAACCAGAAGAAAGCAACATACACAGAATGGCAACCACAATGACGCAACAGTACGCTAGAACTTACCAACGTTACGCTAACAAATAGCGAACGTCAAAAGAGACTTCTGCCATATGTTAACTTTTACCAATCTGGAAACCAAAATCAAGTTACCTATGAGAAATATCCTCCAACTGCCCCGAAAAAAGTTTACCCCGTGTATAACGAACAAAACTCGGACATTGTGTATCACCATAACCTGAAGTTTACTCCTTTTTCTGTCAATAATGCAATTCCAGGGCCTTTTAAACCGATGATGTCTGCCCCGCAGAGAGTTAAATTTCAGTACGTTCCGGTAACTCAAAACAAAGTTCCAAACTTCAGCGAAATATACGATAAATTGGCTCAATTGAAACTATCGCAAAGCTACAGAAGACCCGCCTACTTTCAAATTAAACGTCCCTCTAGCCATCAATCGTTTTTACTAAAGCCACAAGTTTATAACGAGCATAAACTTATACAACCGTCTAAAACGACAATAGAAACCTACACTGCTACAAATATTGATATACCAACTGGATCCGTCGACGACTATCAATATGATACTCAAAAGAATTTTCCTCAAAATAAACCCTACATAAACTCACAAATAGCTGTAGAAATACCTTATTCTAGTATACCTCAAGAAAACTATAAAAGAAAGCCATATCAAGAATTCCAGAAGCCATTTATAATTGTACCAGCAAGCCCACCAGATAACAGAAATAAACAAGTTGTCATTATTCAACAAAGAAAACCTATTTTAAGTAATAATCCAGATTCCTACGAAAAAAATCCATACGAAAACCGATATCAATTAAACACTCCTCAATATGAGGAGTATGAACCTTTTCCAAAATACGAACAAGATCCAACGTACGAAGATGATCCACGATATGAACAAATACATTACAAGGAAGCTGATACATACGCAGTAACTCCAAAGTATGAAGAAACTCCCAAATATATAGAAGCTTCCAAATATGAAGATTCTCCAAGTATATAGAAGTTCCAAAATACAAAGAAAGTACCAAATATATAGAATCTTCAAAGTATGTCGAAAATCCAAAAGATATTGAGATTCAAAAATACGAGGAAGTTCCAAAATACATAGAAACAGCAAAATATGTCGAAGCACCAAAGTACGAAAAACCCTCCAAGAACTCTGTCAACCTAGCTATTATTTTAAAACATCTCCAAGCTACAAATACTCTACCAAAAACTCTTACACCTGACAATATTGACAACAGTATTAAAACTTTAGTTAAAATTTTGAATTCTTTGAAGAAGCAGCCAAAAGTAGGCAAACCCATTGTGGTACAAGACCAAGTAGCTCCCGAGTATATCGACGATATCGAAAACGATGCTGGTTTAAGCGTCAACGAGATTTATCCAGAAGATACTGATGAAGGTGGAACTCCAGGAAAGCCAGGTGTTGATTATCCAGCTTTGTCGAGCATACCACAAACAAGTTTTAATTGCAAGACTCAACGATACAAAGGATTTTTTGGAGATCCTGATACACACTGCCAGGTAAGTCAATTTTTGTAATAGAATAAGGTTTATTTTAATGTATTTGAACTGTTTTAACACTAAGACTAACACACTACGAATGTATAACGTTTATTTATTTAACCGTACAATGTATGTATTCTTCTTCTTCTTGTGCCACTCCTATCGGAGATTGGAAATCATCAAGGCTATTCTGACCTTGTTTACGGCTGACCTAAGAGTTCATTAGTGGTGCAGCCAAACCACTCTCTCAAATTCCGCAACCATGACATTCTTCTACGGCCTGGATTCCATTTTCCTTCTATTTTTCCCTGCATTATATTTTGAAGTAATGCGTATTTATGTCCTCTCGTCAGGTGACCAAAATATTCGAGTTTTCTTCGCTTTAGCGTTAACAAAATCTCTGGGTCTTTTCCTATTCTTCGTATTTCTTTGTTATTCTTTCAACCCAACTAATCTTCAGCATTCGACGGTAGCACCACATCTCGAAACTTTCAATATTTTTCATGTTGTTCTGTTTGAGAGTCCAGGACTGTATGTATTAGACTGACTCTAAAATCTAATTGGTGTTACATACATAGTTCGATTTTTTCTTCGCAACATTTCTGAAACTCTTGTGGCGTCATGTAAGGCGTAGAATTTCTCCAAATGCCGAGAAGATTTGATCAGGGGCGTAGCATGAACTATAGTACTTACGTACTTACTTTCCGTGTCTAGAACAACAACAATTTTGTGTTTCCAATGGTACCGTCCTCCTGGTATCCCCATTTCTTCAGGTCACTAAAACAAAGTGAAACGCCAGTTTTTAATGTGTTTAGCGCTTTCCATGTGGGATATAGCAAATTGTTTTCAGCGGTCATTTCCTTTGAGGGAGCAAAATGTATTGCAGCTGACGCTTGCCATAGGTATATTCGGCGCGTCTTTGGCTTTTCGGGAAAGGATTGTGATTTTTTAGAAAGCTTTTCCGAGGTCTTAATCTTGGTGGTCATACAAGTGTCTTTGATCCATCTCGTGCTTCTTTTATTCTATCTCTGACGTGACCTGTCTTCTGATAGCAGGTGGAGCGATTCCAACTATAGGGTAGACCTCTTCGATAGGTGTCGGTTTTAGGCAACCAGATATTATATGAACCGTTTAATTTTACGTAACATCGACTTTTTAGCCTGAGCAGAGTTTTCCCAGGCTGGTGCTTTGAGATGTGGATTTATCGGCGAGTATTGCGGATAAGTTGGGTTGACCGAATAAGAAATGAAATAGTTTTACATCGAATGAAAAAGAGCACAGAAATAATAAAAACGATAAAAATTCGAAAGTTGCAATATTTCGGTCATGTAATGAGAAATCCAGAGAGGTATAACCTTCTACACCTCATAATACAGGGTAAAATCGTCGGAAGGAAAGGCTCCGGCCGACGAAGAACATCCTGGCTTAGAAATCTCGGAGAATGGTATCAAGAAACCAATTTATTTAGAGCCGCCGTAAATAAAGTTATTATTGCCAATATGATCGCCAACGTTCGATAATCGGACAGGTACTGAAAGAAGAAGAAGAACATGCTTCAAAGTTAGCGGCAGAAAAACATAATGCTAAGGCAGAAGTACAGAGAATGTGTGGTTGTGCTCCCCATTTTGTGTTTGTTAGTTTGCGGATGATATTATTTCTGGCGCTTAATTTTATCTTGATATCTTGACAGTGATATTGATAAGACAGAGTTCTATCCAGACGTACGCAACAACTAATGAATGAACCAGAGTAATAACAGTCTTATATTCGAATATTAGTACCAGGGTATTGATCTCGCATGTTTCGGTTTTAAGTTTCTAAACCATATTGCCAATGATTCTTTTGGCATCCTGTCTAACACATTTCACCACTCCCTTCATTTCCAGTTCTCTTATATCGTGGCTTCTAATTTTATCTCGAAAAATATTTTTCTAAAAGATTTTAATATTTTTATTTCGGTTCTTTCTTGCTTTTTATATTTAAATTTTGCTTTTACTCGATAGTACCACTCGTCATTATGTGTAGTGTCAACTTTTGCGTTAAAGTCACCGCATATTAAGGTAGCTCTTTATCTGGAATGTTGGTAATTATTGTATCCAATTATTCGTAAAATTCCTCGACTGTTATGTCGTCTGCTGTACTGGTTGCCGCATAAACTTGTATGATATTGAGTTTATGTGGTTTGCCTTTCAGTTTAAGGAGAACTATACTATCGCTTATAGCTTTAAATTCAACGACAGACTTTTGTAATCTTGGTGAGACTAGAACGGCAACACCTACATAGTTCTGGGTTTTACTGGCAGAGAAGTAAACATAATTGCCATTATGTCTCTCAACCAATGCGTTTTAGCTAGTCCAGAGATTTTTATATTATACCCTACCAACTATGTTTTATTAATTGACAGCTTATCTGAAATTGTTTTTAGCGTTTTTACGTTCCATGTACCGACAGTAATTAATTTTCTACTTCGACGAGTTTTAATTTCTGTAGACCAGTAGCTGAATTTCCACACGATGCCTGATCACTAACATTCGCGTGGCCGGTAGGCAATTTCGCACTCATTGATCCGGACTAAAGGCAGCGCCAGTCGTCACTCAGACTGCGTGGCAACATCCGAAGCATTCTCTTAGACATCTTTCTTGGGAATGATAATGCAACGGATTCCCCTGCACTATTTCATCGCAGTATCGCAACCATTCTGCTGATACAGCTGCGCTTGTGAAAATTCAATGATAAACCGGTCCACTTTACGCCGGGAATAATTAAAGAAAAAGACATTGATAGTGAGCAAAAGAATTTGAAACACTTTGGTCACATGTTTAGTAAAAACGAAATTGAAATTATTGCGAAAAAAAAAAGAGCATGTTGGACGACAGAAGAAATTTCAAAAGCTTTCACAATAAGATATTTTAGTAAAAGATATTACCTATATCAAAGACGGTAATGGGTATTTACCGTTAAATACCCATTACCTGGAATATCAATTTTACAAAAATGGACTGCACACATTAATCTTAGATTTGGTCTTCTACAAAATGTACTTGAGGTGATGTATATTGCTGGAAAATCAAAAAGTGAACTTCAAAGAGTAACCGTCTTGTCATATGATGAAATGAAAGTTTGTTCCCATTATGAATGACCAAAAAGAGGATGAAGTAGTTGGCCCCCATAGGTTCATGCAACTAGTGATAAATGGAAGCAACTAGTCTACATTGGCTTTGATACAAGTATGACTGAAAATATATTGTATACCACAAACTACTGTGTTGCACATTGTAAAATATAATGCTGTTTGGACTTTGGAAAAACAAAGGCAAATATCTACATGTTTGCTAATGCTTCTTATATCCTAAAATTAACAAGAAACTGGTTAATCCGACACAGGATTTGAACTTGAAGATGGAAGTGTATTATAAAAAGATTTATTAAAAGAACTAATTGAAGCTGCCACAACAGAAGTAAGTTTCGTATATAAGCTGATTTTAGATCATTTACAGGTAAAAAAAAAGCGGAGATGCACTTGCTGCAGAATTACTATCTCATGCAACTGCAACAGCCTTAAAACATTATTTTCAAAATGCAGCCAGAGATAAAAAATCGCAGCACAAAAACTTAGAGGGTTTATAGATCTTATTAATAGTCGGTTTGATTGAATGAATTCCTTTACATCTGCTACAACTACATTTAAACGACTTATGGAATGAACATTTTGGAAGAACAAAATAGGTTATTGGCTCTAGTCATTGATACTGTTGGTACTCAATGCAAGATATGGGCATCAATATAGATGGAGAAAGATTAAATCACCTAAGGTTTGCAGATGATGTTGTATTAATCGCAGATAACTTACATGATACAGTTTTTATGATGCATTCGCTTAAAAGTCTGTCTGAAAGAGCAGGATTAAAGATAAACTTTGAGAAAACTAAAATTATAACAAATCTCGTAATGAGTGGAAATATAACTATTGACAATAATACCATACAACAAACAGACACTTACAAATATCTGGGACACGAAATCAAAATAAGCAGAGACAATCAAACACATGAAATACAGAGGCGAATAGGTCTAACATGGGCAGCATTTGGCAAATTAAGCCATATTCTAAAAAGTTCAATTCCCATGTATCTCAAGCGAAAGGTTTATAACCAATGTGTTTTACCTGTACAAACTTATGGAGCAGAGACTTTAACACTCACGCAAAAATCTGCGAATAAACTTAGAGTTACACAACGAGCCATGGAACGTGCAATGCTGAATGTGAGCCTTCGAGACCACATAACAAACCAACAAATCAGGCGAAGATCAGGAGTTCAAGACGTCATCGAAAGAACCACGACGCTTAAGTGGAACTGGACAGGGCACTTAGCCAGAACACAAGATGGACGGTGGACAAGACGTATTATGGAATGGAGGCCCAGAAATTATAAAAGAAGCCGAGGACGACCACCGACTAGATGGACCGATGACATTAAACGTGTAGCGGAAAACTGGCTACAAGCGGCCCAGTGTGGAGAACACTGGAAAGAACTGAGGGAGGCCTATGTCCAGCAGTGGACGCGATTGGCTGATTGATGATGATGATTGATACTGTTACTAAAATAGTGTGAAAAAGTAGCAGTAGTTCAGACGTGTCTCAAATAGCTAATATAACAAAAGAAAACGAAACAGATGGGTTGACATATATTGCTGGTTTCATAGCATTTAAATATAAAAATCAATTCCCAAATTTAGTAAGACATAGCTATGAGGAACAAAATATAAATGTTCACAATTATTCTGTACCGGTACAACAACATTTATAATATATTATTTGGTGGACTCATAAATGCATCATCAGAATAAGTAGACCAAGTAATGACAAAGGAAAAATATTTTAAAATTTTTATGGTGAAAACCTAAATCGGGAGTAAGA